CTGGGGGGCATCGGGTGGGTGGCTCTGTGCCGTGCCAGGTGCAGGGTCTGCTAGCTGGGTGCTGGCAGGCTTGCACCTGGCACGGGCACCGTAGCCAGCCCGTGCCCCTTTAAGGGGTCCGGGGCCGGGAGGGGGGCATAGAGTTTCCCTGGTGTTGGCCAGAGTGGCCACCAGGGAAACCTGGGAAGCCTTAGCCTCCCACTAGTTCGAACTAAAGGGCTACACAGCCCTTAGTTCGAACTAGCTAGTTCGAACTAGGCGTTAGTCCTCGTAAAATGAGGTTTACCTAGTTCGAACTAAGCGCTCCGTTAGTTCGAATTAAGTTCGAACTAACGGAGCGCTAGTGTAGCGCATAGGAAAGTTAGTTCGAACTAACGTCTGTTAGTTCGAACTAACTTTCTAGTGTAGACATACCCCCATAGACTTAGAGCTCTTTAAAGATTAAGCTGTCACTTGGTACCATTATTTCTATTTTCATCTTTATTTTCTTTGTAACCATTTTTAAGATCTATATTTGCTAGCAGTTAAGAAATAGAGCAATAGCCATTGTAACCATATGATTTATAAGCTTCTTTAATAAACCTGTAACTGCTTAAGTTTTTAACCTGACTCCTTCAGTTGCTGTAACAGAACCAAGCACAATTTAAAAGAACTTCAGCCGGTCATAAGGGACAGGTATAGGAGGAGCTTGGGCATTTGGATCGTGTCACTCCCAGGTGACAGATCCTATGGGGCATCTCTCAGTCTTCCCTAGACTGACTGCTGTAAAAGGATCCTGTATCCTAGCAGCTAAAATCTGAGATGTAATAAACTCTTCCTATAAACTCAGGGCATCTGTCAGCCTGTTGGCTGCCCTCTGCGATGGGACCCCGGTCCTAGCGGTAAAGTCACAGACATTAAACCTTTTCTCAGTAACACACGTACACACACACACACACTGCCCTGACATGCATCGAAAAAGCAATCTGCTTTTTCGAAAGAGAGTGTCCAGACTGAATGGACACTCTCTCGCATGTAAACTGTGATTGCTATGGATGGAATGGCCACCAGGACACCTGTGCTTTTTCCTCTTTCCTCTTCTTCCAAAAGAACTCCTTCTTCCCTGTCCACACATGCCTTTTTGCAAAGAGCTCTTCCGGAAAAAGCCTTCTTCTTCATAGAATGAGGATTACCAACGCCAGAAAAACCCCTCTGTTCTTTCGATTTTCTTGCTGAAGAACACAATTGCAGTGTGGACGTTCCTCAAGTTTTGTCGGAAAAATGGCCATTTTTCTGACAAAACTCTGTGGTGTAGATATACCCCCACAGCCCTGCCTTTCACGCACATTCATGCATATCCACTCTTCATGTGTTCAAGCATTCACACTCCCACCCATGCTCTCATGTGCAAGCACATACACACACGTTGTTCCATGTAATGTTCTCCTCTCTACAATGAACCAAATTCAGGGGACCCATTGCATGTAGCCTCCCTACAGTCACTTGAAAGTCAGCCTTGTGCACCACCCAGCATCTCTTGGCTCTTTGCACAATACAATGTGTTGCAGGCTGACCCTGTCTGTACTGGCAATGCCATTAGTGCCAGAATCTTACTCTCTCAGACACCAGCTGCATACCCAGGCTGACAAAAGCATTTGTCGTTTCCAGCACATCACAGCTTACTTACCTGAGGAAGCTGAGCTGATGAAGATTCGGACCAGACTGGATGGCTGGAAGGGCAAAGAGACCATTTTACCCTGGAGAAACTCTCGACATGTGTCCGGGCTGAGGCAGCTGAGGCTTATGCTGGTGTTTTCACTCTCTGACTTCTCCCTTGGAGAGGACATTGCTCTTTACAGAAGAATATTTCAAACAAGTGGCAGAAACGAGACCTGGCAAGTGGCTCTAATAAGCGAGTCGCATACTTGGAACCTTCCTCATCAAGACTTCTCATGTTGCTCCCAAGAACAGGCCATTGTGGGCTTTGTTCCTTCACTTTTAAACAGGACCCAGTAAAATCCTCAGCTGTTTAAATGAAAAAATTAGGAAAATCTAAAGCTCTGAGTCTGTGCTGATAGCTGTTAAACTGTCTCCTTGCAACACAGGGGCTTGGCTGCATCCCAAGAGGGCAGCCATCTCTACAGCAACCAGTGTTTGTCACTTAGGAGAATTCCCTGGGTATCCTAAAAGTGCCAGACTCTAGTGTGCTCTTAGTCAAGAATGTACATTTGAGGCCCTTTTGCTCAGTGGCCTTGTCTGTGCTAGAAATTCTTGTCGCCATATTCCAGCAATGGGTAGTGGTTCCATTGGTAGCAACGGTATTAGAATGAATCTGGACAGGGCACAGTACAGGCATTCTTTCGATCTGTTCAGAACTAGTTTAGATTACACAGGGGGAATGCACCTGAGTTCTGTCTGCACTAGCCTTTTGTCTAAGTATAATAGGGTGAACTATTAAAAGGTCTCAATTAAAAATATTCCCAGTCATTAGTAACAAATGTGCGATGGCCTTTGATCTCTATGATACAGTGAGTACAAACACAGCACATGGGGGAAGCTGACAAGAAACATTTAATATTGTAACCAACCGTGCAGTGTCCACAATACCCGGAGGGGGAAAGAATGATTTTATTTTGGAAAGTGATTTGATAGCAGAACTCCAGGGACACAAGATGACTCATACAGTTTAGATTATACTATGCAGAATGGAATATGCTTGTTCACATACTTGTCAGACTGAGAGAGAACTGGCCTTGCTCATCCCGAATTGCACATCTACAGTACATGGGGTACAATGAAGAGGAAAATGCCCTGCTGATAAACTCTCACCAGCTGGAGTTAGCAGCAAAGAGACTCGGAGTAAATGTGACTCATTTCCACAGTGTTGGGATTACCACCCTCTTGCAGACCAACACAGACGCTGAACTAGTTCAGCTCCATGAAGGTTTACCTACAAGGGCTCAGCACATCCCCCAAAAGGAACCAAAACCCCAGAGAAATCTATTTTACCCCGTGTGATGGAGAGGAGGATACGGCCAGCACTCGCTGACCAGAGGGTTGAAGTCAGGTAGTTAAGGGTGTTGGCAGAGAGCCAGATAAATAAATGGGATACAATGCTGACATTTAAATGGTAAATATACACCTGCTGCCCTTTCTCTTTGTGTGAGTTTTTTAAACTAGAAGCTAAACAGGATGATTTAACTCCGGGCAGGACTACCATGCCTTCAAGGAATTCGGGGCATGCAAATGGACTGGACCATGAAGGGATTGTGAGTAAATTGGGGGAAAATGTATATTTTGTCACTATCAGGTTATTTTTTTTTGCATTGTTGTTTGGTTAAGCTTCTCTGTGTGAATTCCATGTGCCTACCCTCCCCCATTCACCATATCTAAACTGCAGCCTAGAAAGTCTACATCTATTTGTGTTTTAATCTGTTCTTTTCTCGGTTGCTTTGTAACACCTAGCAACCAAGTATGCTTTATCAAGTATATCTTTTGTTTTATTCATAAAAGTACCTTTTTTAAAAGTGATGATTTGATTCTTGTGGCCTGCAAGGTAACAGGAGGTCTGTGTGTGTGCCTGCCTAGACTGAAGGTCAGCTGTCAGAGACTGCAGCTTGTTTCCTGTGTGTGTTTTTGTTTTTTTTCTTTTTTCAAGCTCTCTTGTGGTAAAAGAGCTTGGGGTACCTTTGGGGAGAAGTGTTTCTTCCTGGCTTTCAGGTTTTTAATTCACTTGGTGGTAGCAGCCTAACTCTCAGGGCCCAGCTCTGTGATTCTGGGGAGTTTTTGTAAGCCTATGCAGGTGAGGCATTTTTAAGGTCTCTTGCAGGCCCCCACCTTTTTAGCTTGTTTCACATGGTTGGCTGAGTCCTCTTCCACCAGCATCATAAACTGCAAAAGTCCAAATTCCTGACCAGCCCTTGTACATAACAGGCAACTTGGCTGTAGACAGGACAAAAGAGTCTGCCTTGAAGGGTTAAACCATGACTTAGGCCTCTGGGTCAATGAGTTCAGGGTCCACTAGGGATTGGTGGATTGCGAACATCTGTGTTCCAGTGTCTCTCCATGCCCACACTCACAGTTTCCCTTCTCTCTGGGGGTAGCTGGGAGTCATCTGGGCCTGAGGACTCTTGGGGTAACCCTGGTGTAATGAACTACACTCTGTTCATGCTCTGGGAGCAGTTGGCCTAGCTCATTAAATTTAAAACATTGCTCAGCTGGCTTGTCATTGGAGCAAAGTGGATTGCTAGAGAATGGGGTTGCGGGATGAAAGGGTTTCTGTGGCCTTCTTTGGGGTACAGAGGGCTCCTCATCATGAGGTAGGTCTTTGGATTACACCCGGTGGTGGGATGCCATCTCTGGGCACCCCTTCTAATACTTCCTTGACTATCTGTCAGTTTTGTTTCCCTTTATCACTTCCATCCACCCAGCTCCTTGACAGTATTTTGACACTATTTTGAAAAAACTGCCTGCTGTGTAGACACGGACTAAGTTATTTCGGAATAGCGCTAGTTATTTCAAAATAGTGTTACAGTATAAATGTACTCATAGTCTCTCTGGGCTGCAGTTTATATATGGTGAATGGGGGAGGGAAGGCACATGGAATTCACACAGAGAAGCTTAACCAAACAACACAAAGAAAATAACATGATCACGAATAAATATTTACTCACAATCCCCCTATTTACTCACAATCCCTTCACGGTCCAGTCCATTTCCATGCCCCAAATTCCTTGGCGGCATAGTAGTCCTGCCTAGAGTTAAATCATCCTGTTCCTTCAGCTTCTGATTTAAAAAAAACTCACACAAAGAAGGGTAGCAGGTGTATATTTACAATTTAAATTTCAGCATTGTATCCCATTAATTCTTCTGGTTCTCTGCCAACACGCTTAGCTACCTGAGTTTAACCCTTTGGTCACTGAGGCCAGCACTCCTCCTATCCCTCACACCCTGAATCCAAGTTTTACACAGAGAGGCTACGTCTAGACTACATCCCTTTTTTGTAAAAGGGATGTAAATTAGACATATCGCAATTGCTAATGAAGCGGGGATTTAAATCTCCCCCGCTTCATTAGCATAAAAATGGCTGCCGCTTCTTTTTGGCACGGAGCTTTGCCGGAAAAAAGCGCCAGTCTAGACGCTGATCTTGCGGAAAATAAAGCCTTTCCCGAAAGATCCCTTATCCCTCTATGAAATAAGGGATAAGGGATCTTTCGGAAAAGGCTTTATTTTCCGCAAGATCAGCGTCTAGACTGGCGCTTTTTTCCGGCAAAGCTCCATGCCAAAAAGAAGCGGCAGCCATTTTTATGCTAATGAAGCAGGGGAGATTTAAATCCCCGCTTCATTAGCAATTGCAATATGTCTAATTTACATCCCTTTTACGAAAAAGGGATGTAGTCTAGACGTAGCCAGATAGTTTATAAGGTCCGTTTCCATTATCAATGGAAGAGAGATATGTACATCAGTTGCTTGCCCCCTCCCCAGTTTACACTGTGCTTGATAATAAACAAACTTTTTATGAACTACAAAAAGTAGGATTTAAGTGGTTGCAAGTGAAAACAGATTAAAGTAAATTGCTAAATTAAAATAAACAAAAACACCAGCTAATCCTAATCTACTAAGAAACTTGTTACATGCAAATTCTTACCCTAAATAGTTTTTCTAAACATATTTCACAAGCTAGGCAGTGTCCTAGCTTGGGCCGGATCTTTCCTCCTGTTCAGTCATAAATTTTTCCAGCAGGCATCTTAGGTGGTAAAGGGGAGCATGTCTCCTGGCATCTGACAACTGCCTCTATTATTTGGTTTCCTCCCCTGCCATATCCATTTTGCCCAAGGTGGGAATTCTTTGTGCTCAGTTCAAACTTTTCTCACCTCGAGTGGATACAAAATCCAAAATGGGTTTCAGCATCAGGTGGCCTGGCCATATGTCTTTCTAAGACCAGCCACAGTCTAGGCTTACAGAACAAACAAGACTATTCACAGGTTGGTTGATTGAGTATCGAGTAATTAAGATCCTAAAGTATCCTTAATGGCCCACAATAGTGCATTCAGAATTAAAACTAGATTCACACTTCATATTTCTAACTTCACATACAAGAGTGATATATGCACAAAAATGGGATATACAGATTCAGCAGATTGTAACTTTAAGATTGATACATTATAGGATGCATTTTGCATAAGCATCTTCAAGTTATGCATATTCATAGTCATAAGCCAGTAGCACTAACATCTAGGCAGTTATTCTCAATTTTGTAGTTATGCCAATGCTTTTTGCTTCCTAAGTGTAATGCTTTGCACTCATCTTTACTGAATTTCATCTTGTTGATTTCCAACCAATTCTCCAATTTGTCAAGTTTCTTTTCTATTGTAATTCTGTCCTCCAGAGTGACCACTAAAGCAATCAAAAGACTCTGATCACAGATGAATAAGCATCAGGAATCTCAGAAAAGAAAGATCTTGGTTTTGTACAAATGTTCAGGATAATCAAATAGTGAGGGAGAAGAGGGAGAAACCCATCAGCCAATCCCACCAGATAGCAAAGAGTCTTTCCAAGCAACAGTTGCCTCTGCCTCCTGTGCACAGAAAATGCTTTCCAGTGTCTGTTGATTCACCTGAGGCACAGGATATTCAGTGTTTCCTCAGCTCAGTTTGTTCCTTCCCCACAGCCAGTGGCAACTGAGACTATACTGGGCTCTTGTTGGGAGCAACAGACTTATTTCTCGGGGTCTTTCCTCCTTGTGCTTCTCTGTTTCTGTATGATAAAGTCAATCTGGTAAATGAGCATCTTGGCTAGGTAAAACACGAGAATCTGGAAGAGAAATGGAGGTCACTAGGGCTGGATTTAGTGATACCTGAAAGCAACATCTCTGAGGTCTTAGACGCAGAAGAAATGCCAGGGAAGGGACCACAAAATCCGGTTGTTTACCCTCTACAAAACTCAAGGTTCTAGTGTCAAGATCTGTGTCCTACTGACTTTCATGGGAGCTGCAGGAGCTCAGCACCTATGAATATCAGGCTATTTGTTTAGCTGCCTACGCATTATTGTTCATTTGTCACTACGTTACTGTCAAAGTTGAAAGTAAGCGGATGCACTCTGGTGCTCCACTCCAACAAGAGCTGTCAGAACTGCAGCAAAAGTCAGCAAAGAGCTGGCAGGGGCCAGGGTTGCAATAGAACAGTACGGTAAGAATTTTTATCTTACTTTCACCTCTGGTTACCGTACAGGATAACAGTTGTTAACATTAGCTACCCAGGTTTGAAAACTTAAGCAGGAGGGGAGTGGTTATCATCCACAAAGCTAGCCAATCAGATTCTTGGCTTTGTTTATACTAAAAAAATGCACTGATTTAACCAAACGGATTTAAAAATCAATTTAATTAAATCAGTGAAAACTCCTAATATAGATGCACTTATATACAGTAAAGTATCTTGCATCAACATGCTTGATATCAGTTTAGCTTGTATTCAGTATAAGCCTGTATGCAGGGAGGTGTCTGAGGGGAGCAAATGCACCCCCCCAACATTCCCCAGGGTTCCCCAAACATGAGGGGGAGAATCAGCCCCTCTCTGTGTCACATTCACTGCCTAGAGTGTACTGAGCATGCTCACTGGAAGACAGAGCCTTAATGTGGTTACAGCCTCAGTTACCTCCAAGAAAAAAAGTCCTGTTGCTAGCCCTGCAACAAGCAGCAGATTTTTCTGTCCCCAGCCAACAATCTTTTCCAAGCAGCCCTCAGTGTATATCAGGCTCTCTGCTTGCCATGATCTCAGGTTCTGGGTCCCATAGCCACACATGGTGTTGAGAACACTCTGCAGGGGGAGAAGAGTCAGCAAGAGTTTAGTGAGTGAGGAACAGGAACTCCTCTGACTGTCTATGCTTTAAAGCATAAAGGACAGCCATGGTCATGTCAGGAGCACTGGAAGAAACTCTCCCAGGGCTCTATGCAAACCACCTTTGTGTTAGGAGTAGCAAACCGCACGGCGAGCATAGCTATAGGCTGGTTTACACTGGCTCTTTGCAGCGCTGTAACTTGCTGCAGTCCGGTGGGGCAGGTATTGTTTTTTCACACCCCTTAGCCAGAAAGTCTCAGTGCAGTAAAGAGACGGTGTAGACTTAGGCTGTGTCTACACTACAAAGAAAAGTCGGAAAAAGCTACACAAATTGCAAACCACAATTTGTGTATCTTTTTCCGCTTTTCTTCCAAAAGAGGCTTTTCCGACATTTGGACTGTCTATATGGGGCCAAATGTTGGGGAAAAGCCCTCTTTCAGAACATCCCTTCTTCCTCGTAGAATGAGGTTTACAGGGATGCCGAAAAAACGCGTCCGCTTTTCCAAAAAATTGTTTGGAAAAGCAGACATATTCCTTGGACGCGGCAGAGCTTCTACCTTCACCACCGCCAGATGATGCAATCATACCATCTAACACATGATGATCTTAAACAATTCCAGGGGTTATTTAAAAGAGTAGCAACAAGTCAGCAGGTTCCACTTCAAGAAGTGCAGGAAAAGCAGCACTTTTTGCTAAAGAATCTGCACCCCATGTTGCAGGGGAAAATTGCTTTGCCCATAGATGAGGCAATTATGGAGACATCTGACAAGCTGTGACAAACGCCCACATCTATCTAACCTACCTGTAAAAGGGTGGACAGAAAATATTTTGTTCCCCCCACAGACTCTGAATTCCTATTTACACACCCACAACTGAATTCTTTGGGTGTAGAGTTGGCTCAGCACAAATCTAAACTGTCTTGGTATAAAATGGCTAACCAAGACAAGGACCACAAGAAGTTAGATCTTTTAGATAGAAAAGTCTATTCTTCCTTTACACTGCAACTTAGAACAGAAAATGACATTGCGCTCTTGGCAAATCATGATTTTGATAATAACTCAAAACTGGGACAGCCCATGGAATACCTCCTCAAATCAAAGAGGCCTATCACAGCTAGCATCTGACTCAGCGGTGGTCACTACAATCTTGTCCTCCACTGCCAAACAATGACTCCGACTCCCTCCATCCGACTTGAATACTGCTCTATAGTCACCCACAGTGGAGCACTGTAAGGGAGCCTAGACAACCCCGTCTTGACTAGAATAATCGTGTCTGCATTGTTCGACCCTGACTTGACCGGGCTAACGATGGCTGTCTTGCCCAAAGTGTGGATTTCTTACAAAGCAAACCCAGGCCAGTCTCAAGTCTGGTGCACGTAGAAATAAGTGTAGAAAAGATAATCAGTGGGAGAGAGTGAGCGGGATTGACCCACAGGTCCTGCTCATTGTAACGAGAGGTAATAGGCCCTTCACACCGGCGGCAGCAGTGCATGGTGTCCCGATGGGTGGGAATCAAAGGAACCACGACCTCCTGCCCGGTACTGTAGGTAGCATATGGGTGAAGTGTAATTGAACTAGGCTTAATTATCATATATACAGTAGCCCAGTGTCTGTGCATCTGTAACGCTGACGTACACGGCCACGCCTCCTGGCCGTGTACGTCAGCACCCCACCCCCTTCTCCTGCCTCCCTGGTGGTTTGGCCGAGCGCTGCGCCACTCGGCTGGGTCCCGGCGGGGGAGCAAGCGGTGGCAAGCGGCCCTTTGGGGTCTGTGCAACACTCAGCTGAGCCACCACGGAGGGAGGGGAAGGGGGCAGGGCAGTGACGTACACAGCCAGGGGGCGAGGCTGTGTACGTCACCGCTCCCCTTCCCCTCCCACTGTGGCACTCAGCTCAGTGCTGCGCCCCTCAGCCGGGCCGCCAGGGGAGCCAGCAGCGCAAGGGGCTGTTTGGGCTCCCTCGGGGTGGGAGGGGAAGGAAGGGCGGTGATGTACATGGCTCCGCCCCAGTCGTTTATGTCACCGCCCTGCCCCCCTCCCTCGCAGCAGCCTGGCTGAGCAGGCCGCACTCAGCCAAGCGGCACA